GCTGGCACACTGATTCACTATGAATGTAGGCCGCACCCCCTAAAGGCAGAAGCTCGTACTACATCCGGTTCGCCCTCTATTGACACAGTCTTGAAACTTTCCGATCGCACCTCGTATGTATTGTATTATTATGAATTATTTCACATCTTGTCATCTGATTAACCTATGGAATTAATTCTTGTTTGCATGTATATATATATATACCCATAATGTGACGTTCGCATATGATAAAGCGTGCGAAACACTCAACAGTTTAAACAGCAGTAACCTTAAAAATCCGCGAAGCGACAGTATGGGTCGTTGTCTGTCAGTACTGTCGATGTTTATAAAGGATTATTTTATCGGGTGTTCCCAGGGAAGTCTGTTTATCCGGACTCCCGGTTAAGGAAGATTCTACTGTATTTAGGAAGATTAATGCTAATTGGTGATTATAATTACAGACGCCACCACGAACACACCATCGCGTCTTGTTACTCCACGTGTTGTTACAATCCACTGCATTGCAACCCCAATGCTGGGATACGATAAATTTCTCCTGAGAACAGGACACGAGTCATGTCAGATGTCCGGAGCTTACTACGGTAAGATATGAAGCTAGACTTTCATGATTTCGAAAAGATTTACATATTAGGAATCCTAACGATCTACTTGTGTCTGTGTGCCTGTCCTTCTGATCGAAATATACAGGATGATTCTTAATTAATCGCAGTAATTATGAGGATCCCGTTCTATTAATAAAACAAAGCATAAATATTCTTATAAATGTATGGTAATTGTTACAGTTTCCGTGTTAACTATAAGGGAAATATTAGGAAATCAAATGAGAAAAGGAAAGTTATTCTCGTATTTTGGAATTACATTTGTTTTTATTTCAACAAAACAGTGACTTTTTCTTTCTTCTTTATTTCCTTTCTCTCTTTTCCAGAGAATAGGTCCTCCTTTCTCAGGTTTCCTTGGTATTTGATGTGTGCGTTTGCGAGTAGTGAGTGACCAGCCGACTAACTGCACAATTTTTACTCAATCCAGATTTTGACTGCCAGAGCCATCTAATAGTGAATGAGAGACTTGGATGAGATATGACCGCTGAATTTTGCTTACGAAACATCTCGTATCATTTTCGTAAGGTTCTTTTACATGCTCTAAATCTACGACATGGGATCGCCCTCTTTACTTCCCCTCCGAAGGAACTTGTGCTATGGATTTCGATCAAACTTAAAATATTTATAAAAGGGTCATAAACTTTGCTGAAAATACTGTCTACAATTTGACACAATACTTGAGTCCCTGAAGAAGATAATTCTCTGTCCGTGTCGTTATCACAGTCTCTTATAAGAATTATGCCCTCAGGTGGTCTCAGAAGTAGATGTCGGAATTTTTGAGATCAGGTGATCACGAAGGCCACAAAAGTGTTTCGTCCCGTTATCTCATCTGTGCAACGACATTCCAAAAAACTGCTTCATTCAGCAGGTAAAATAATCAGGCCCATGCAAAAACCACATATTTTGTCGCGTTAACAAAGGCTAATCATCCAAAATATGAGGCAATTATTCTGTTAAACCATGAAAACAAGAAGCCGCTGGGGGTTAGAGGCGGAAATACTGAGGTCGTACGATAAAAATACAAATTATCACCGTTCCAACATTAATCGTAAACTTATCGCAGTCCAATATTGCCAATAAAGCTGTTGCAACTCAATGATTTTAAAGGCAAATATTTAGCTTAATTATAGGCGTAGAACACGATTATTATAGTTACTGTACGTAATTATAAATCACCTTATATTTAATTACAACAGCATCAACAGGACAATATAATAGTATCAACGTTTAATCACACAAATACAATTATTTTCTAACACAAGCTTTTGGCCTTTAGTTTACCAGGAGTGTCAATTTACATCAATAAAATACCAGTTATCAGCGATGAATTGTATTAGTTTGAAAGCGTAATTGAAGTTTTTACAGAAAATGAGATGAGTCAAATTCATTCAATTGAAACCAACCAGAAGATATCCTTCGATATCACTGAGGATTCTCCTATGTAAACTCTATGGCAGATACCGGGTTTCCAAGATCAGTGACAGGCAAATCGTGTACATTCTTCATTCACTGAACGTTACAACGGAGTTGTTTTCATCCTGGTTAGGATACGAGAGGCCCCGTGTTAATATCTCGGCCCAGACATCGGCTGTTCCAGTGACTTCTTTCGTTGTTTACCTTAGTTTCTTAAGGCAAATGATTGGCTTGTACTTTTAAATAAGACCTGGGCCACTTCCTTCCACATCCCTTTTTTTCAACTCATTATTCATCATCCTTGTAATAATCGACGTTCTATAGTCCGAGATACTTAACACGTTATTGTATACATATCACAGAATATAAAATAAAATTTCCATTACATTGACGAGTTTAATAGCTTTATTAGAGAGAGTTCTTCGTGAGAAACTGACAGCGGGGCCGAGTCGAATTCTTATTAAACGCGGTTTTATACTGCAAGCGTACAATTCGGCTAGGATTTTGTGATATTTATATCTATTTTGAAACTCTAAATACAGACACAATTAATTTGTTGTGAAGTCTGTTTTATCAGACGCTCTACGTCAGCGTCTGAAGTAAGCGGTTCGACTAGCTACATGGTAACAGACTGTACTCACGATGGTCTCTTCGTGCGAACTCTAGAATTTTACATTGACGAGGAATGCCTATTCCAAATTCTTGTCTACTCATAATCATCTCTAAGTTTCATATGACGTTTTACATAACCTCTGAACTAGAAATTGTACCTTTGAAATTCAAACCGTCTTTGTATAGTTATTATTATTATTATTATGTATACTTCGACCTCAGACAGGCCTTTGATTCAGTCCCTCATTTCTCTCTTTTAGGAAAGCTTAATCATTTTGGACTATCCTCTCAGTACGTCAAGTGGGTCCAAAGTTATTTATCATCCAGATCCGATTTTAGTGACACTTAGCTTCAACACTGTGTCACACTAACCTTTCCCATATCCTCTACATCAGAATGCACATCTAGTACCATAATTTCTGTGTCTGATGGTATAAGATTTCCGTACTATGCCCAGAGCACTCGCGGGATTTATTTCTATTATAAGCACACTGACTCCAGACCAGTTTCCTAAGATACGGTCATCCACTTCAAAAGTAGCAAATATTTTCCATTCCAACAAATTTTACTGGTCGTATTTCATATCCGAATGAAAAGAATTATAAAGTTATGTCTGACAGAAAAAAGTTTAAACCAAATGATAGGGTTTAATGACCGGTTTTTATAAAGAATATCTCGGAAAAATTTTGAACATTTCTGTAGCCACAAACAGTACGTCTTATCGTAATGGGTTTAGCTAGCATTTAGCAGTACAACGAATGTTGCCCACTTTGGACCATATTTAAACGACATTCCCGTATACAATCACACAAAGGTCATCATACTCGAATCCTGTTTAATGACGAATTCTTCAGGCTTACGATAGCCTCTCCAAGCTGCAGTCAGTGGCAGCTCGTGGCCCCTTGATGACGAATTCAATAAAGTCCTATAAAGTCTTGGTCAGTTATCTACCAGACCTAAGACAGTCATCTGCGCATTTGTCGCTATAAAAACTTGAAATCGTAAACCGTATTTGACATACGAGGAATTTGTTTACAGGCTTGGCGACTATTGGCTTCACTGTTTTCCAAGGAGATTGTTATTGCGTTAGTATTAACATTACGTGATTTTACTGGAGACTTTTCATTTTCCGTCATTAAACTAAGCATTGACGAGCTGCCACTGGCTGAATAAAACCTTCACCTCGAGATCCACCTGTGTTTTCAGTATTCCTTTTTATCCTGTTTTTCAGATTATATCAGGGCGACATATTTCCTTAAGAATTATGATGTAGTTTAAACCGTTTTGTTTTGTCTTGTTGGGTGGGTGGGAATGAAGAAGGCTTCGTTCTTCTAATAAACTCACTTTAAGATACGCAAACATAGAGCTACAGGGCTTTAAGAACACTGAACCAGACTGGCGAGTACGTGACAGGATTCTATTTGTAAATTGTTCTACACGTGTAGACTAGAAACTAAAGTGAAACTGCTTGAAAGGAAGAATGTGCATACTAAACAGCAATGTAACCAAAATAAATTCAAAAACCAATGTAGTGTTTGTCAGTGTGTATAAAATAATTTTGTCAAATATTATGTAATTTATATTACGTGAGTAGTCTGTACAACATTTAAATTGTTAATGAACAGAGCTGAGGTTTTGTTGTTGAAAATGAAGAGTTTTAATTCTTCGCTTTTGGTACAACTGGTTAAACATTGAATGATTTATCTAAAAAGAAAGATTCCTATAATTATTTTTCTATATTATTGCAGTTTTCTTGAAACCAGTTTATTTAGTATTATTCTATATTGTATATTGATCTTTGTGTCATAAGAATGACGCAAATTAATACAATATTTCGTTGTGACTAAATTAAATAAAAATAGTACACATATACAGACATACAAATATACTAAAATATTTGTGAGAGGATGTATAAAAAAATCATCTCACAATATTATATGATATTTGGATTTGCAAAATTGGCAACAAATTGCTTGAATATTACAATTGTATTCCGCTGACTACAACACCCCCAGACCGTACTCGACGTGCGCGAATAATACAGAGACTAATCAGGGTTGAGCAACCACAAATGCACTCTTGCATGTTAACATTTCAGTAGATAAAAAAATATTAACTTAGAATTACAAGATATACGCTGTATGATTTTTAAACGATATCACATATATTTTTGTATCTTAAAAAATACTATATACGCTAGATACAAAAAGTATATGTGCAGTTTAAATTCATATGTTTTTGTATAATTTAACATAAACACAAAAATGAGTTATATTTACAACAACAACAAAAATTCAGTGATTTGCAATATCTTAATTTTTTTGTATGTTGTAAAGAGGGAACCTGGAGATGATTACTACACCCAATTACGTTGTTATAATAACTGAGTCTCGACAAATAAATAAATTTGTTGGGTGTGACTGCTAGGAACATTTATGACAGGTGTGTTTTGTCTGCTTATAATTTACGGACAGAAATTAGTGCCTTTCAGTTTTCAAACCATACTATCCGTTTGCAGTACGTTCCTCACCTGCTAAGAGTCTACTCAAAGAAATCGCTGATGTACCTGTTAATCAAAACGTGAATAAACGAGCGGATATAATAAAACATTATTAAAATGACTATGAAAGGTTTGGTCGAACAGCGGGTCATAACGTGTGAAGTAAGTGACAGAATACGAGATACATTTTCCGAACTCACACAAAGAATTGCACCTGTTTATTTTAATTGGTTTATTGCAGAAGAAGACTGTGTATGTTTAACATGCAAAGAATAAGACATCCTCAATTTGTGACTGAGCCTGCAATGCGGAGGTACCTATTTGTCCGCTGCTTTATATTAAAAGTTATCAGATTGTTCATTTGTAACCGACACCTTGTTTATAAAAGTGTGACAGAACATGTTTATGTGGAGGAAATTCAGACTCAATGTCGTCTGTTTTACTTCGTAAGGCGTAAGAACATTTCTTTCTTGCCTTATTCCACAAGGTAATGTAGATGATCATGACAAATGACGGTTTGTTTAGGGGGACGAAAAGATGACGCTAGTTCCTAGGACAGCCGACGACTACATGTACGAGGTGCGATCGGAAAGTTTCTAGACTGTGTCAATAGCGGGCGAACCGGATGTAGTACGAGCTTCTGTCGCTAAGAGGTACGGCCTACATTCATAGTGAATCAGTGTGCCAGCCGGCATCATCGAGTTAGCATTTGTTTCTTAGTTACGGGCGTTTTGGTAGTGCATTACACCGACCCTCCTGCGATTTCGGAATGGCGTGTGCATCAAATATTGCCAAAGACTCGCCAAAACGGCTACGGAAACCTATGAAATGCTAAAGCAAGCATTTGGGGAGTCCGCAATGGGTCGTGCACAAAC